ATGAAGGTTTTGGTTTCCTTTTTAAGCTGGGGTAACAATCTGATTGCAGGATGCTTGGGTAGAACAGTAATAATCCTAGGGAAACAAGGCATAATTCAATTATCATTAGTAGTAGTAGTAGTAGTAGTGCATCTGTAGTACATGTACAGTACCATACCTGCCAACCCTTCCGAATAATCCGGAATATACAGATTTTCTGGAGTTTTAGGACCTGAAAATTCGGAATAATCCAATTTTTTTTTTTTTTTTTTTTTGGGGGGGGGGGGGGGGGGGGGTGCTAAAGCCTAATTAAGCTTGTTTTATCATATGCCACGATTTGGGAGTTCATGTATTGCATGCTTTAAATTGCTGCATGATCATGTAGTGAATTTGTATTCGTTTTTTTTTGTATAGATTTGCCACGTATCGCCAGTTACACAGTCGATGCAAGTGTGATTTCTTATTTTCGAAGGCATACTGTGCTAACAATTCCTAATTCTTATTTTCAAATGCTGGCAGGTATGCAGTACTCTTAGATTTTTTCCCGATCTTTTTTTTTCTTCCTGATTTAAAAAAAAAAAATAAAAAAATAAGATTAAAAAAAAAAAAAATTTAAAATATTTTTTACCAGATTTTTTTTTTTCTTTCCTATTTTATCCTGACTTTCCTGATTTCCCCCTTATTTTCTCTATTCTTCCCTATTTTCCCCCCAATTTTCTTACTCGAAAGGGGGGAATGTTGTTAGATGCCATTTTTTCCCTGCGAATCCTCTTCTTTTTTTTTACTCAAGGGGGGCGTGGTTGAGGGGAAAACAAAAAAACTTTTTTTTTTTAGTGCTCACTATCACCCCTGAAACCTGAGCAATGTATGCTAAGTTTAACGTGAGTACTCGTCATGCGTTTAACTTGAAGAAACCTTCGAAAGGGAAATGGGATAGGTTGGTTTTAAGGTGTATACTGCAAAGAAAGCAGACTCAACCCGAAGTATTAGAAGGTTTTGGAATCGTCATATTGATAAGAAATAGAACAGGGCCCTGTTTCATAAAACTTGTACTCAATAATAAGTTTCAACAACTATTATCATTTGGGGCCTGTCACCACGAAATGAGTCCAGTTGGTCAAAAATTTTATTCCTGTTTTTAAGTATTATATGAATCTACATTAAGTAAGCTTTAAATTAAGGGGTCACACATTAAAATTATATCCAGAATTAATTCGTCACGAAGACGAATAAGGTGGTCTGTCTAAGTCTTATGATAGATTTGAGAATGGGAGAAGTTATATAGACATGTAAACAATGATGATCATGATGATGTTCATGATAGTAAAGGTGATGATGATGATGATAATGATAATGTTATATGATGATAAAAACGATGATGTTAATGATGATGATGATAATGATCATGATCATGATGATGTTGAAGATGATCATCTTCAGACCATGATGATGATGATGATGGTGACATTGATGATGATGATGATGATGATGAGCATGAGCATGATCATGACATCTGATTGAAAAAATGAGGAAATATTTAGATAGCAAATAGTCTCAGCTACAACATACTAAAATTTGGGAGAAAACTGTTGAATAATAACCGAGACACTGGTCAAAACACATTGAAAAGCAGATTCATGTTTAGAAAAAAGTAACCTCCCTTTAATAGACATAACACGCAAATATGACAAATTATGCATTGTCGCCTTTAATCGAATATTTCACTATGATGACGTCATCTAAATGAAAAATAAGTGACATATTTCTGATAGAGAATTATCTCAGCTACAAGATATTAAAATCTGGGAGAAGATCGATCACCGATAAGTGAGATAATCTCAAATAAACAAAGACAAAAATGACGTCATCAACAAAATACATTTGTTTGAGTTTAGATGCCAATATGATGACTTTATTTCACTTTGTACGAGTCAGGGTGGTATGAAATCATATCTCCAACTCACGCTTTCTCCAACCATGATATAAAAATTGGGGGTCAATGGACTATCTGAAGAGCTATTTCGATTTTTAAAATGGCATGTTTTTGATCAAATTTGCATTATATCGCCCATAGCAGTACGCGCGGATTTTGAACTTTGACGCACGCTCACGGCCTTATGAAATATGAAGAGTGACTGAAATTAATGTAAATTGTCAATTACGTTAAGAGGAATCCAAATCATGTAAACATTTTGAATTTGACCTTTTCCGCGCGCTGTGAGCGCGCACACCGCGCGCGGGGGACACTTACGGACGGAAAATTTTGAAATGCTTAAAATGACCTGATTCGTACTCTCGTTTAATAGTTTAGTGATATTGAGCAATTTTAAATTTTGACGCGCACATACGCGCGCGTCATGACCTTTATGTGACCTTTGATTTCATGACCTGTTGACCCTTGACCTTAAGTATATGTGATATGAATATGAATGACCTTTGCTGATGCATCATGAAGATATGATGGATAACGTGATTTCACAAAATGGCGCCTGGATGACGTCACGATAACCTAATGACCTTGAAAATGTTCCTGTCACGTCTCATTACAATGACTTATGCCTATGCCAAAATTAAAAGAAATTGACATAACCAATCTTACGTTATCCGACACACAAAAAAGTGAAGAAATAAATAAAAATAAAGAAATAATAATAATAAAGAAGAAAGAAAATTCTGACGAAATCAATAGGTGGTCTGTTGATAACAGACCACCTAAATATGAACAAAAACCTAATTGGACTTTATAACAATGGGATTACCCAGTTTTTAGATAATTAGGTGTAAAGTTAATGATGCGTAACATATTATAGTCTGGTCAACAACAACATAGCAACAACACACTTCCCATCATTCAATTTCAATGAAACTTTCAACAAACAAAGAAATAATAAGTCGATTTTTGGAAAAATCTTAAATGTGGTAGGTGGGTCAATTTTCAGTACATACACACTATACATCGCTATTACTACGATTGAGCCTAATGCTACACTGGACTCATTTCGTGGTGACTGGCCCCATTTACTGAAAATGTGACATTTGATTGGCTGAGAGCACATTGATAGCATTTGTTAAGTTTTAGTCATTACAGTCATAGAACACTCTATGATAACCCCCCCCCCCCTTAAAAAAAAAAAAAAAAAAATATAAGGGGGAATACAAAAGATGGAAGAAAAAAAATCATGATAATGAGCCAAGAACAAAATAAAACATGTCTAAGCTGCAGAAATATATTGCTTGTATAAACAGTCTTATCCAGAGCCCTAGCCATGGACCAAAAAAAGGAAAAAAAACTAAAAAATGAATAATGAAAAATAAATTCACCAAATCAACAAAGCATCCTGGACTTGATTTACTTTCATCTTTAATTTGATTCCAAAGTTCCAAAACCACAAGCACATCCACATTCTCCTTTAAAACTACACACACATTTACCCTCAATGTTTAAAACCACAAGCCTATTGTTGAGTTTATAGTAGGCCTGTCATCATTGGCTTAAGTTTACCAAATAACCTGCTATTTTAACTATCCCGATTGCAAATTAACCAGTTAATTTACGTCTTCATCAGCCCGCAGTTGCAATTAGAGGGATATTTTGTCAAGAAAATATCCCGAGAAATCTTGGTCTTGTTTCCAAGATGTCCTGTTATTTGGTAGATAGCAGGCTAATTTGCGCCCGGCCGAGCTACATGTAGTTTGTGATGAGCGTATCGGCCTGGTGAAAACGCAATTTTGAGCTTTGGGATAGTATCCGAGTCTGAAAACAGCAGGTTATTTGGCAAACTCGACTTGATGAAGACAGGCCTACTGTGTCGATGAACCTAGATCTTTCTATACTGTTGTATGCAGCTCCCTGGCCTGGTTGGGCTGAGGAATAGACTAGGATGTACTTAAGGGTGGAGTTCCTCTTCTTTTCACCTGATATAATTAAATAGTGGATAACAATAGGACCAGACTTACCCCCTTTCACAGCTGCTGGGTACACAGAAGAAGGGTGCAACCCATGCATCACCCCTCCTTCTCCAAGCTCTCTTACCCCTTGAAATCCAGGAGGGTCTAGAGTCTACAGGTCTTGGGTCAGATTTAGTCAAGTATGAAACGGACAATAATTTGTTTAGTTTTATTTACACACTGTCCCTGTGAATAGTAAAAGTTGGGTTGAATGAATTCTAAGAAGCCACACCCACCTACCTGTATAACTGCTGGTATCACATACATGTACATTGTAATTGTCAATGTGGGTGTTTTTAAACTTACCTTCAGTGTGAAGTTCTCCTTGGTCTTTGGTTAGCTGAAGCCTTGTGAACTTTTCCCTTTGCTGTCTACATTGTATGTCAATTGGGACATATTTCCTGCTTTTGTAAGTGTTTGTAAGCATTGCATGATGTTAGTATAGTATTCTAGTAATACATGTAAAGTTGTTTTTAATACATCATGCTTGTATGGCTTCTAGACATGTACAGTACATGTAAGAGTTTATGTCCCCAATGATTCATATGTATTATGTATGTACATAATAATATATATGTAGTAATGTGAGATTTGTTGCCTCCTGTGGCTAGACCTGGGTTTGGTGCAGGCTATTGTTCAGTATGCACTCAGGCCTCTCTTGCAATGGCTTGAGTGCACGCTGGACAATGACCTGGGTATGGGTTTGGTTGTAGGAGGTGACAGCTTTCACATTACTGGAGAAGACATTACTGCAGAGAAGTCACAAGTGGTGCACGTGCATAGTGGGCAATTGAGTTACATGTGAGTTAATCATTCGATTATCCTTATAAATGTTACATTTATTTATTGTTATATATGTACATGTATCCTACTTATATGCTTGTTGAACAATTATTGATGTTCTTATGGATATTGGCAGAATTTGAGTTTGTAATGGGTTTTTGCAATGCGCCACTGTGTCCTCTGTTTGTTATTAGAAATTGTATTTACTTGCCACACATTTGATTTTGGCATATAGCCAATTAGCCAGCCAATAACAATTTTTTCAATTGTCTTTTATTTCACTTGTACAGGTGTCTGGGGTCAAGGTCATAGAGAAGAGAACGAAGCGTAAGTACACGTAGCTCAATTTTCTACTGGCCCTGTTCATATTAAAAGGGAAAGGGCATTTTCTTTACATACAAATATCATACCTGCCAACCCTTACAAACAAATCCAGGATATTACGTTTTTCTTGATTTCTAGGACCCGAAAATCTGGAATACTCTGCTTTTTCACAATTTCATTTATTTTTTTTTTGCGCCAAAGCCAAATTAAGCTTGTTTTAACCTGTGCCTCGATGTGAGAGTTCATGTATTGTGTGCGTTGAATGCAGGCCTGATAAAAACCCGATTTAAATTGGTTTCCCGATTTAAAAAAAAAAAAAATCCAAATTTTTTCCTGATTTTTTCTTCTTCTTCTTCCCGATTAAAGATTAAAGATTAAGATTTTTTTCCTTCCCTATTTTATCCTGATTTCCCCCATATTTTCTCTATTCTCCCCTATTTTGCCTTATTTTTTCCCCCAATTTTCGTACTCGAAAGGGGGGAATGTTGTTAGATGCCATTTCCCCCCCGCGAATCCTCTTTTTATTTTACTCAAGGGGGGGGGGGGGGGCATGGTAGAGGGGAAAACCAAAAATCTTTTTTTTTAGTGCTCACAATCTCCCCTGTATGAATGGGCTGCATGATCGAGCAGCGAATTTTATTCGCTTTTTGGTACAGATTTACCGCGTATTGCCAGCTAGGCTGCTGCTGCAAATGCGATTTCTTATTTTCAAATGTTGGCAGGTATGGAATATGTATATAACCCTGTTCATATTACAAGGGGAAGAGCATTCTAACATGTTTTCTATACATACTGTACATGTAGGAATGTGTTAATGACCCTGTTCATATTACAAGGGAAAGAGCATTCTAACATGTTTTCTATACATACTGTACATGTAGGAATGTGTTAATGACCCTGTTCATATTACAAGGGAAAGAGCATTCTAACATGTTTTCTATACATACTGTACATGTAGGAATATGTAAATAACCCTGTTCACATTACAAGGGAAAGAGCATTCTAACATGTTTTCTATACATACTGTACATGTAGGAATATGTAAATAACCCTGTTCACATTACAAGGGAAAGAGCATTCTAACATGTTTTCTATACATACTGTACATGTAGGAATGTGTTAATGACCCTGTTCATACTACAGTGTACATCACTGTTTTTTTTTCTCAAAATGGCAGCTTCTGTGGGAGAAATGGATAGCAAGGAAACTGTTTACTTTAGAGAGATTGTTTTGCTTGCTAGTAATTTCAAGATATATTTGACTGGCTAACAATTTTGAATAAGATTATGAGCTTTTTGGGGGGTTCCATTCTTCTTTAAGGCCACCTCAATGCTATTGCTTTGTCTGTAAATGGAACTACATATTTCATTTCAATCATCTCTTTTACCCTAATTACAAGTAGATTTTTCATGAGGAACGTTTATACAGATTTGGCAAAGGTTTCTTAAAGCGTTGGGAGCCCAAAGTTTACCCAATTTTTTTTTTTTTTTTTTTGGGGGGGGGGGGGCAAAAGTTAACTCCAATTGTGCAATGGTGTGAAAGGGGTTGTTATTTAACATACACTTCGGCAAGGATTTTCAAAACAAATGTGTTTGAAGATGAATATTGATGAAAGAATGCCATATTTGGGTTTACTGTTCTACGCAGAAAACCACAATTTTGTATTCTTTCATCAATATTCGTGTTTTAGTCTGATCTCATCTCTAGTAGGGCTATTAATCTAATGCAATGATAAGATTAAAGTAAATTGTACATGTCTTTGGTAACATAGGGGACAAAATAACTTAAAATATATCAAACAGATATGATACATATGAACTTATTACTTCAATTGTCAATAAAGGAAGGCTTGGAAGTTGGTTTGATTTTATTGTAAAAAAACGTAAATGGATCTTTGTTACAATGCTTGTCTAATTCCTGCAATTTACCTCTATTGTTTTTATTTGATGTACAGATTATTTAAACTTGGTGCAGCTGATATGGATGTGGAAAGTGCAGTTAGAAAGGTCAGTGAAATCTGATAAAAACATTACCGGTATAATACATTTAAGACTTCATTGTAGTTCATCGGTTCTAAACACTGTAGCATAAGCGAAAATATTGTGGCACAAAAAGGTGAAAAAAGTGCATGAATAATTGGTGATTTCAAGGAATAAAAATTGTGCAATATGTCATCTGAATGACATTTTTATGGAAATGTAGAATAATCCAATTGGCATAACAAGGCCACATGGACAATATATTATTCTTTATCAGCAACCAAATATAATAATGTTGATATTGTTATTTGATGTTCCACCGCTCAAAATAGCAAAATATGTGAATCAACAATTAAGAATTTCCCTGAGTATTGTTATATTACACCAAGGCTGCAAGCTGAGGTTAAAATATAATGGCACAAGGGAAATTCTCAATTTGAAAGTGAATATATGTGATATTGACAGTGAAATTGATGTGATATTTGATATATAACATGTAGGGAAAGGCCACTTACAGAAAAACAGAAATTACAGATATTTTTGTACATGACAAACCGGGAGAGTTATCCGAGACTAGGTCATGATCCTCCGACCATACTGCCACTTTGAGTTTCACAACTATAGACTTGGTGATTTCACGTTTCAAACATTCATAACTTTCTCATTGATGAACCTATTTGTTTTAAACTTTTGCTGTTCTGTTCATTTATTTATTTTTCTGCCTTCATACAACTGAAGGGTTTTGGTTGCCCTTTAAAGTTTATAACTGATTGATCCATGTCAAAATAGCAAGAGTGGGGTGATACGTAGACAAAGATTTCACCCCTACCCTTCCTTTTTGAGCAAAGTGTTTTTTTTCATTCAAGTGCTTCAGTATACAATGACCTTTAATTGAAGTCCACAGTTTGAAGATCTTTCCACACACACACTCTTGGTTACAAATAGCTTGAAGGGCAAATATTTATGTAGGTCCCCTTGATCACAATGGCAAACAATCAGTGAAATAGACCTTGTCTGATTTCATGCACTTGGAAACTGAGAAAGGAAGAGTTACTCAGATACTCCTATTTGGACTTCAGTGGAGGAAAAGATCTTTAATTTGCTAGTGGCACCGTAAAATTTGAGTGGCCCCCATTAGGATTCAAGCCTTGTTCAAATATGTGGCAGTAAACCACAGTGGCGGATCCAGGGGTGGGCCGAAACGAGAAGGAAAAAAGAAGAAGAAAAAAAAAAAGGGGGGGGAGAAAAAAAGGAGAAGATAAAAGAAAAGAGAACAAAAAAGTAAAGAAAAGAGAGAGAGTTCAAAAAAGAGGAAAGAAAAAGAAGAGAGGAGCCGGGGAGAAAGAAAGACAACGAAATGGCACTAAACATTAGTGACAGTAACGACGAATAAGGGAAAGACAAGGGGAAGAGGGGGGGGGGGTGCGTAAAGGCGGATGCATTGAGGGGAGGGGGGGGGGAGGGGTGACTGGCCGTATTCTTATTTTTAGGTTATGCGAAACTGAGTCGAAATTATGCTTCTTTTCAATCTTAGCATGCTTGTTTATGTTAAGCCGTAGTGCATGAAAAGGTTAGTGTAGAAACACTTCCGAAAAGGCCGCGCCCGGCCCCCCAAAGAACGGCAGAATGGTAATCTATAAATTATGGGGTCATTCTTGATGGCTTGGGAGTCGTTAAAAGGAGGGGGCTGGCCCTACTAAAATGGTAGTGACGGTAACGATGGATAAGGGAATAAGGAGGAAGGGATGCACATGCAGGCACGTACGCAGGGGGGGGGGGGGGGGGTCGAACCCCCCTCAAATTTTTGTCAAGTTGTCAAGTTGGTCCTGATGTGTATTAGGGCTGTGCAAAACAGTGTAATGAGGTACCCGAGTACACTCCCAGGTTCACAGGCGAATACTCGAATATTCGGACGCCATGTTTTTTTATAATTTTTTTATAATTTTTTTGAATTTTTTTTGAATTTTTTTGATTTTTTTTGAATTTTTTAATTTTTGGATTTTTTTAAATTTTTTGCCACTACCATACCACTCAGCAGTTTCTCAGGTCCCTCGCTGAAAACGCATGCAACTTTACTTTGAGTTGCAGTTGAAGGTGCCGATTTAATAAGAATAATAACAGTAAACAATGCTGTTTTAAAAACCAAAGATTGGAGAATAATCCATTTTCCTCCAAGTCCAAACAGAAATCTGGACATTTGGTCCCAGTTTCTGAAAGGTGAGTTTGACAGTGCTTGAGTTGGGAAACATTTTTACCGACTGTACCATGCCAGCGGACGCCGCTCTCCCTGGCATGGGTAAGCGTGGGCCTGGACATTTTTATTTATTTTTTTAAAATTTTAAAATTTTTTTTTTTTTTTGCGGCCGAATATTCGGGTACAAGAAATCGTACCCGAGTAGTTGTCAACCGTGCGGGTACTCGAGCATTCGACTACCTGTCGCAGCCTTAATGTGTATAATGCGTAGACCAGGGGTTCTCAAACTTTTTCTTTGACGGTCCAGAAGCGATTTCTATGAAAGCTGTAAGGTCCGAAATGACACTTGTATACTGAAGATAATGAGGCTTGTTCTTAGTCTATATCTGATCCAAGGAGAATTGTTACAGTTTTAAAAAAACAGAAACGCCAGTGCTTCAACTCGTTTAAATAGAGTTTCCTGAAAAATAACATCCAATATCCTGGAATTTGAAGGAATTTTCTTAAAACTTTCAAAATGCCTCTTACGTGTATTTCTTATTTGGATGAATCGCTATGACATTTTAATATATATTAATTATTGAGTGGGCTTATTTTGCTTTCTAATGGATCCATACAACATGGCAGAGCTTGAGGGGCCTGGCAGAGCCTTTTCAAGAGAGAAATTGTCTTTAGGAGAAAAAAAGAGGTTATTTCTAAAATGAAATGAAAGGGTTATTGACTTTCAAGAGAGAAAATTATCTATAAGAAAGGAAGAGAGGTTATTTCTAAAATGAAATGAAAGGGCTCTTGTCAAATAGCCCTTTCATTTCATTTTTTCTCTCGAAATAAACTCTCTTTCTCTCTTATAGACAATTTTATGAGATGGAATCTTCAATCTGAAGCCTTTTTGTGCTCTTTGAAAATGGCACACTGAATGGGGCAGTGCAATTTAAATTCCAAGGGATGGATTAGAGTTTTTATTGCTCTTGAAAGTCAAATATCCCTTTCATTTCATTTTAGAAATAAACTCTAATACATTCCTTGATATTTAAATTGCGCTGCCCCTATTGTGTCCTCTTTTTAAAGAGCACAACAGAGCCCTCAGATTAGGCAGCAAGTAGCAAAACAAACCCGTAACACTGGACACAACATTCAATGGGATGATGCCCATATCATTGAGTTTGAAACACACTTCTGGTCAAGAATGGTAGAAGAAGCATCTGCATAAAAAGGATGAATCCTTCACTGAATAGGGATTTTGCTATACACTTTTACCTTTGTGTAAATAATAAAAGGTCCACGGGCGTGGTTGTTAGAAGCTTAAACTACATAAAACTCTCTCCAATTTTGCAGGGGGAGAGCCTTTGTTGGGAGTCTTTAATAATAAAAGGGATAAATCCTTCACTGAATAGGGATTCTTGCTATATGTTACCTTTCTTCGCTCCAGTGATCTCGAGGCAGCAGACAGCAAGAAATTGTGTAAATAATTTGCTGTTGCCAGGAGTCTTGCATGAGGCGGAGCTCTTGAAGTTCTTGAACTTTAAATTTTTTTAGGAAATTCCAAATAGTCGTCATGAGCGATAGAAATTGTAATTTCCTCCTTGAGAGTCACATAGCCCCTTTCATTTCATTTTAGAATTTAACCTCTCTTTCTCTCTTAAAGACAATTTCATATAACTTCTGTTTTCGTATTGTTGTACTTTCGTCCGCAGACTACTTAAGCACATGTCGAGCCAACTCAGTCGGAAATGTAATATGTAGGCCTAAGTGTTCATGTTCTTCCTTTTTTCTTTCTTTCTTTCTCTCTCTCCCTCTCTCGGTCTCTCTCCTTTTCCTCTATCTTCTTTTTTAAAAACATTATTCTTTCTTTTCTTCTCATTTTTGTGTGTGTGACATGCGTAACGCGTACGTCTATCAATGTCTTAATATGGTAGATTTACATTTTGATGTTTCCCTTTGTAGGTGCACCTTATATTCCAGAAAGTGCCCTATTTTGATGGTGCCCCCCCCCCCATGTATTGATTTTGAAAAAATAACTTTCTCATTAATTCTATTTCCAATATATCTAATACTTGCACTAATCTCCAATTTAAAAAAAAATCGTCTACTTCTCTCAAGACAACATTATATAAAGGATTCATTAATGCAAGGCTACTTGCGAGTAATCTCTCAATTTCTAACTGTCTGCATTCCTCATCTCCCAGTCTCCCTTGCTTTAATATTCCTCGTTACTTCCTTCCAATTGAACTCCAACTTAATTGATGTTGTATCTATTCTTCAACTACAGGTAGATGCAAATGTTACTCAAAATCCATTTTATAAATCACACTCAGGATACAGCCAACTGACGAGAATTGCTTCAATCTATATTTTACATGTATCATTAATATATGGTTTTACAATGGCTATGGTGATGAGTTGTCTAGGTAACATGTTGATATGTTTGTTAAAATGTATTACCATGGTGCACCTTCTTGGTTACAAAAAAAAATATGTGTATGTATTAACGTAAGTTCGTGCTTTTACATATCACAGTAGAAATCAATGTTTTATATTTGATGCAGAATAATATATTTGGAGATTAGAAACACAAACAGTTTCCATAACCGTTCAAGTGTTTTAAGCAAACTTTCTCCTGGATGTAAATTCACACTAGCGTATAGCACTAGCGAGCTCTCCGATCTAGGCTAGACTTTTCGCGAGCGGTTTCTTTGGAATTAATTGAGAAATTCCCCTCGCTAGCGTATAAATAAAAAATATGCCGGCCAGCCATATGTAAATGGCAGTGACGGTAACGACGGATTAGGAGGAAGGGGTGCATACGTGAACTACAAGCGTATTGGGATGGTCATACTATCATTTTAGAGTGTGCAATCTGGGTCGGAATCCAGCATAATATATTTATAAAAAAGAGGTTCACATAAAAGCACTCATGATAAAGCCGCGCCCGGCCCCTACAACATCATTTTGGATTTTCAGATGATGGGCCAGGTGGCAGGGGTAGGGGGCAAAGTTCGCCCCACTCTTCAATTACCCCCCCCCCAAAGGGCCACTTTTACTTTGTAAAGAAGTGCCCCTTCCCTTTTTAACTCAGATAAGCGCACATTTCATCAACACATGTGCCCCCTTTCCTATCTGATAAGGGCTATTTAGAAAAATGAGGCCCTTAAGAAATAAAAAGTGTCCCTTTTCATCTCTGGTAAATGACCATTTTCATATATGAGAAGTTAATTCTTTTCACTTCAGTGCACTCTTCACCTTCGATAATTGCCCCTATTCAAATCTGAGAGATGCTCGTTTTACTTTGAAAAGTACCCCTTCCCCTCCTGATAAGTACTCTTTTCATCTATGATGGGTGCCCATTTTCACCTTTGCTAACTGCCCTTTTATTTTGAATCGTGCCCCTTTTCCTTTCTAATAAGGGACCTATCCCCTTTTCATAAATGCCCCTTTTCACCTCTGATAAATCAATTTCTGATGGATGCCCCTTTTCCGTCTACAAATGCCCATTTCCCATACCCATAAGTGCCCTATCTCATTTCTGGTGAGTGCCTCCTTTCAGGTGTAAGAAGTGCCCCGTTTGAACCTTGATAATTACTCTTTGTACCTTGACTCATGCTCCTTCTCTTTTCTAATACATGTAAGTGTCTTTATCCCTTTCGCACGTAGGCACGGGGGGGGGGGGGGGGGGGGGGGGGGGGGGGGGGGGGGGCACGTGCCCCTAACCTGCTCATCATTAGTCTTGCACCTAATTTAAAACGACTAAGAGTAATTTCCCCTAAAGGTCGCTTGCCCGCTCGCATTTATAGATGATACAGGTTGTATGTCACTTTAAAACAAATGTTTTTTCAGTCGTCCGTGATGCTTATAACCCCATAATGATTTGGTTTTTTCCTCTTTATAAGATGTAATTTTTCACTCTGCGACCTCACAGATCTTACATTTTTCTCGCTCGCTTTGCTCGCTCGCAAATGAATATTCAGACAATCACACCCAGCCGAAAGTGTGATGCTTAAGCAATATCTTGTATGATATATAAAAAAAAACAAATATTGAAATTGTCCCTGGTAATGGAATCACAATGAAAGGGTACACCTGTATATACCAATGTCTAAAAAAATGTATATTTTTGCTTTGAGATTTCGCTTTGTAGGTGCCCTTTTTTGTTGGTGCTTTCCACATTGGAAATAGCTCTGCCGCCCCTGCTTACGCATTAGCGCCAGCGTTAATTTCACGCTTGCGCGCACAGGGGTTGTCTGTGTGTGTGTGTGTGTATGTGGGGGGGGGGGGGGTTCCTCTCTAGCTCTGAAGCTGATTTTTTTTTTACCTGGATTCGTGCGATTCGGTTAATACTCCTAGAGGGAGTCTGAGGGTGATGTGCCCCCCTCTGAAGCTGCAGGCTGATAAAAACCGATTTAAATCGGTTTTTTTTTACCAGATTTTTTTTTCTTCCCTTTTTATCCTGATTTTCCCGATTCCCCCTTATTTTCTCTATTCTTCCCTATTTTGCCCTATTTTTTTCTCCCAATTTTCTTACTCGAAAGGGGGGAATGTTGTTAGATGCCGTTTTTTCCCCGCGAATCGCCTTTTTTTTTTTTTGCTCAAGGGGGGCGTGGTTGAGGGGAAAACAAAAAAACCTATTTTTTTTTAGTGCTCACTATCACCCCTGAGCTGACATTTTTTTGATTTTTGAAACAGGATTCGTGCGTTTTTGGTTAATACTTTTTTGGGAGTCTGATTTGATTTCAAAACACCTGCAGTTAATGCGGGATGGGGTTGCAGCCTCTCTTTCCCCGAAAATTTAAAAATTACCAATATGCATTTGTTATATCTTATCTCGTATATTTTGGTCACAATTAACACTTTTCACAACATACATAAGCTCAAATTTCCGCTCACTCGCCAAATTATTAAACCAGGAAATAGATATTGGGGCAAGAGGCTTCAGCCCCCACTGATGGAAATGTCAATAAAATTGCGCCCGAGCATAACTTGAAAACGGGGAATGTTGATATCGGACAAGAGATGTGACGTGAGCATGTCCCCTTCCAAAATAATTGTGCCCGCTTGTAGGTACCAGTACACTATTAAAGTACAGTGCTTCTAATATGACCTTGTCAGTATTGGTAAGTTTAAATAATGGTCTGCGCGAATTTCGAATTTCCGGCCCCCCCCCCTATTGGAAAATCCTGGATCCGCGCCTGGTCCATTAGGAAAGAAAATGGTGATGTAAAGTGCAGTATGCTAATGCTTTACATTTCGTATTTTATAACATGAGTTTAGTGAATACATGGAGGAATTATGTTGTATAATAATAATTTTTTTCCCTAATTGTATTGCAATGACTTGAATATTGCAGAATTCCAATTTCTTGTTGACATATCTCTGTTATATATATCATCTTTCTTTCTTTCTACATGTATGCAGGCTATTCAGCCGTTTGAACAAAGACTAGATGCCATAGAAAAACAGTAAGTCAAAGCACCTTTTCTTCCTTTTTGTATGCATGGTATAATACACATAGAACTTGTATTATGATAAAGTGCATGTAACAAATAATGTTACTGGTAATTAAAAGTACAATTTACGCATTTTGTACATACAAATTTGCTGGTAATTCTTTTCATGCTGAAATTAAAAATGAATGACTTCAGAAATGAAATGTTGATTATTGGACATAAACACTCTGAGCTAGTGAGAAACAGTTGAAGTAACTCAGGCAATTTTTTTTTTTTTTTTTTTTTGGGGGGGGGGGGGAGATGGGGGGATTTTGATAACTATATTTCGTTTTAAGTCTTAAAAACCCATTATTTAATTACAGCTATAAAGTGAAGCTTTATTTACCTGTCAAAAGACTATGACAGGTGGATTTTACAGCAAAATTTTGATAACCAGTTATAGATTTTGACCTATTGTGATATTTTGTGATACCACACTTCAATAATTGTTAAGTTCCTGTTGTATTCTGATTCTTTTACTTCATTTCTGAATAAAAACAATACTTTGTAATTTCATTTTTTTTCTTCCTACAGAACAATAAGAAAATATCCAGAAGTTGCCTATCTACCAGAGAGTACAAGAATGAGAATTTTAGTAAGTTGTAACCCATAAGGAGAAAACTTTCTCCTACTTTAATATGATTTACAACATTTTAAACTTGATTTGGGCTGATGTTTGGGAACATGAAGGGTAGCAAAATGGGGAGGATCCAATCCCATCTATGAATGCATCTGAACTTTGGTCATAAATTATTTCCGTAGAAGACCTGCTACTCATATTATCAACCTACTTGAATGTCAAACTGATCATTGTACTCCCCCAATGCCAGACTAACCTGATCAAAGTGTTTGCACAAGTTTATTGGATGTTTTCTATTCAATGTGTCTATTAAACAATTAGGATGTTCCGGCATTTTGTCTGTTTAGAAGCATTTGTACTCTGTAAATGTCTGTATTACCATGCTTGGTAAACTTCGGTGCGACTAAAATCATTCTTTATTTGAAGTGACCTTTTAGAGCAAATGTTGCCATGTATTGTTGCAGTGCAAATCAAATTTGCACAATCTTGGAATATTAGAGGCTTCTTTCATACTGAATGTTAAATATTGACAACAAAAAATAAAGACGTTTGGTGTGACTTGCCTCATGCCTTGATTACCCCATGCACTGACTTCAGACCTATTCTACACTGTCCGATATGCCTTATTTTTTAGCCCTTTGTGGTAATGTAATCCTCTTTCGGTCAGTCATTGGTCTTGTGTCAGTATGAACAAGATAAAGCTTTCATATTTCTGATAAAATTGAGGTGTCCATCATTCACTAGATAACTTTTTAAAAGCTTCAACATAATATTTTATAATATTTCCACCAGCCTTGCTTGTATTAATGGCACCAGTCTCCCTCAAGCATCATACATGTACATCCGCTGGTATCTCCTACAAGCTGAGCTAAATATATGACATGATATACATTGTAGGATGAAAGGAATTTGAAAAAACCTGTATTGTTCTATTTTTGACATTGCCTACAGCTCTTGATATTTGATCACAAGCTCTAAACAGTTTTCATTCTACTCACTATCCTGTCTTAGATTACGGGTGGAGCTGGTTTCGTTGGCTCTCATCTGGCTGACCGTCTGATGCTTCAAGGTCATGAGATCACGGTGGTGGATAACTTCTTCACAGGTCGGAAAAGAAATATTGAGCATGGATTGGCCATCCTAACTTTGAGCTGATCAACCATGATGTGGTCAATTCTCTCATGATTGAAGGTAAGATTGACCTCCGCCCCTCTCCCCTCCCCTCCCCTTCCCTTGCACACTACCAAATTATTCGTATATCTACACCTGTATACCGAAAAACGCTTACTGTAGCTATACAATAAATATGAATAATAATTTTGATCTCGTCTAAACATGGTATAAAGAAAGATTGTATAAATATAGTGAAATGCATGTTTGAGCATCGTTTCAAACGCAAACTCAGGGTTATGCTCTACCGGAAAGTCTTGTCGTACAAAAAATGTATAATTGGGCTGGGTAATGTGAGCGTGTACTGATAACCAACTGCTAAATGATTTTGGTAGAAAGTGTACACTACCTGAGTAACGAGCATCGAAAAATCATAAGAAAATCAGTTTGTCATCCTGGCACAGAACGTTTCATACATTTTCAGTGAATATATTTTCCAGTCAGCTATTGTTAGTTTGATTATATTTTCCTTACCTAAACAATCCACCTGCTGCACAATTTACAATTCAGAATTACTTTGAGTCACTTTCTTTCCAAATAGAATTAAATTAAATTTAGTGCAGAAGAAGAAAATCAAACAAAGCCTTAAAGAGAAGGTTGAGTTCTGGGAAGAGGTGAAAAAAAATTTGTGAGCATTATCATTGTTATTATGCAAGTGTGGAAGAACATCAGATAAAACATGCTCCCTGAAAAGCATGGATCTTCAAATGCCTTCATATGCTAAATATGGCATGTAACATCGTAAAAATCGGGACAGATTTTTACGCCACATGTTCGTGTAGTCCCATATACATCTTTCTGTGTACAATGCTTGTAACTTACCAAGACTTGGCCAAATTTATTATCATTTTGATGATTCCAGAACCTTGCAATACCTGTACACACAAATACTTATATGCTACATGATCAACCTTTTCTGATCGACTCCACATCATTTCTTTCACAATGCAACCGCATGACCAGAACTCAACTTTAACATATTAGTGGTAAAGAAAGAAAGCTCATCATGAGTGTTTATTTTGATTGCCTGCCCTTGCAGGTTCATTGAGATGTAGAGCAAAGTTTGTTGGGTCAATCAATCAATTTTACAAACAGTTGCGAACCTTGACCTTGTTTTCCTCTGAGGCCATGTCCTCAGCTGCCTGCAAGAAGGTTGTTACTGCCATGGACTATACATATAAAAAAAATTCATTTAAACAGAAACGTACTTCAGACTTTCAATGCTGGGATGGAAAAAAAACCTATAAACACAGTCCTATAAACACACTGTTGGTCAACAAGTTTGTTACAAACAAACACAAGTTGAGAGAAAACACAGTAATGAGTGAAGGTTAAATTCATCGGCTATCCGCATGAAGGTTGTTAGAGATCTACAGTGCGTCCTAGAAAAAACAAAACCGAGAATTATCGATGTTTTATCATAACCAAATGACTTTTTGGCTTCCTCTCTTCAAATTCATTTTAATCACTCATGCGTGAAATATGCATTATATGAGTTGCATCAAATGCAAGAAGAGGATCTAAGCTTTACAAATATGTGTCATTTATCAATTATAATTGTGATTAAGTTATGATAAAACATCAATAATTCTCGGTTTTGTTTTTTCTAGGACGCACTGTAGATCTCTTACAACCTTCATGCGGATAGCCGATGAATTTAACCTTCACTCATTACTGTGTTTTCTCTCAACTTGTGTTTGTTTGTAACAAACTTGTTGACCAACAGTGTGTTTATAGGACTGTGTTCATAGGTTTTTTTTCCATCCCAGCATTGAAAGTCTGAAGTATGTTCCTGTTTAAATGATTTTTTTTTAAAAAGCAGGTTTAACATGGCATATCTGAACAAACTTTTTAGTAGTCAGAACTAAAACCATCAACCATCTCACCAACCAAAAGGTGCATTTTAACTATTTATGGGCCTTGTTCGACCAATGGAACAACCAGGGGAGTGCCATAGCCAACTTTTGTCACACTCCAAACAATGCAGTAATCTGGTCAGGGTTTTGATCCATGGAAAATGAAGATTACATGAGTGCATACACGATGTTCAAGATAATTACATGATGGTTCAGTTCAGGAAATTCTGGGAAATTTTGGTTGCAGGTTGCAAATGAATGTATGCTTTCCTACAGGTGTTAGTGTCAAAACACATACTATAGACTAGAGTGCATAGTGTGGCTCTGATTTTTGAAGTATTTCAGTAGTGGATTTTGAACAAATGCATAGGCCCTCAGTGGAAGATTCTGCTCTACATTTGCCTTAAGCATGTAACTGTTTAATATTGATAATGGCTTGTTTACTTAATTGCAAAAAAAAAAGCATTAAAATGCTTGTGAGAACTGAGAAAGCAACCAGGGGACTGATGGATTTATGCCATACCAAAGGGCACTAGTGCATCAACATACAGTGTACATGTGAATGGTTTCAGACTTTCCTGATATGAGACCACTGCTCACACCAGTGAGCCATTGCGCCTCAGATTGTTAAAAGCCTGGGTAAAGCCCAAATTTATTGAATTTTAGGGTAAAGGGGTTTGTTTACTACATACAGGGTACATGTAATATGGGATCTTTCATAGTGAACCTTGATAATAAAATCAAAGAACAAACATTAAATTTGTTTTAAAAGAAATCCCCACAAAAAAAGAAGAAAAAAGTTTTTTGTGGTACTTTTTGATGTTCTTGATACTGGCTTTACAAAATCCTATGAATACATCCTTGGTCTGTTTAATGATAAGTGATGTTTTGTATGCATTGTGTTCCAAGGATGAATTGAAGAGGAGAGAAGGATAGGGAATAAGATATGAAAAGAAAACTTGGTATGTCATTATTCTCTCACGTGGGGTCGATTGATGTAACAATGGCAAATAGTTTGGAAAAGATAGGTTTTTATTTACATACATTCAGAGCATACATGTATGGTACTATGTGTGGGCAGGATATTCATTATTACACACAGTCTTCTGACAACAAAAAGGCTCCCAACTAGTAGTAAAGTGCTCTTCTTTGCAAATTCCACAAATTATTTTTTATGATTTATTACGTTCCTGGATAGCCCTTTATCTGTGTTACATGCATTATTGAACACCTTGAATCGGGTCAAAAATGTTGTTTTTGCCATTTTTCATTCTTTCTTTATTAATAAAATATATCCATAGAAAATAATGAATAGGTTAGAACTGGGTAAAACAAAAAAGATGTGAAAAAAGATGTTGTGTCTGCCTATTGACCTTGTGTTGACACTAGACAGTTCATACCAGTATAAGTATAACCCCATATATTGCTGGTTAGCACTGATACATGGTAGCTAGACTTGCATCAAGGAATTTGCTTTGTATCCTTTGGAGTCATGTTTGAAATGACCTGGGTATAATGATAAGTGATTGTTGAGCCAATGATCTTAAGTAAATCATGAGAAAAATGTGGACAATAATAATAATAATAATAATAATAGTGGGTTCTTGTATAGCGGTCATGTCTGTCAGACTTGACACTCCTGGCGCTTACAATTATTACCCTGGCTTTAGCACTGCTGCTATTGCGGCGCTCTAGCATTTCAAGGTATTAATTCTTGCCAGGTACCCATTTACATCACCTGGGTTGAGTGTGGCAATTGTAGATCAATGTTTTTTTGTATATCAAAGTATACCAATCACCTCATGAACATATATTTTGTATATAGCTACAATTCATTTGTTGTACATTTACATGCATTATGACTGATTGGATTTTACAATCAATTCTCATGAAGATTATATCTTTAAAGGGAAAGTCCACCCCAAAAATAAGTTTGTATCCATGGTAAAAACATAATGCATAAGTACATTTAGAATCTGCCAAATCTATTGCCCATTAGCAAATGTATTTATAATGATGATAACGACGATGATAACAAATTGTTGTATGTTTTCAAAATGTTTGGTGTCAGGGGAAAAAAAATACATGGGGGTGGGGCGTCGGGGCGAATTAGCCCCCAAAATGCCCAAAAAGAGCCCCCGAAAGTAAAAAAAGAGCCCCAAAAATTTGCATAGAGTTCGATGCAAAACGAATTAAAGAGTGTTATTTTCATGCAAGCAAGCTTGAAAAGTAGCCCCCAAATTTTTTTTATTAATTTTTTTCTGTTTGATGTATTCTTCTAGTCCAATGAATTTTGTATTTTCTCCCACTTTCCTGAATACAGTCGATCAAGTGTACCACTTGGCCTGCCCTGCCTCCCCACCACACTACATGTATAACCCTATCAAGACAATCAAAACCAGCTCCTTAGGAACGCTCAACATGCTGGGCCTAGCCAAGAGGGTTCGAGCAAGGCTCTTACTGGCATCAACATCAGAAGTCTATGGAGGTAAGTTTGAGTTCCTCTCAGAGAGTTTCAATTAAGATGAGGATGATGGGATGAAGTTAAGGGGGATAAGGATGATGATTGTGGTGACGGTGATGATGTTGATGATTAAAATGATGATATTGATGGTGATAATGGTGATGATTAAAATGATGATGATAATGAAATCTATGGTGATAATGTTGATGATTAAAATGATGATGATAATGATATCTATGGTGATAATGTTGATGATTAAAATGATGATGATAATGATATCTATGGTGATAATGTTGATGATTAAAATGATGATGATAATGATATCTATGGTGATAATGTTGATGATTATGTAAGGTACCAATTACGTAATCTAAGTTTCATAAGAAAGTGTTTATCTAAACCTGCGGCTGAGATCTTAATTCATGCTTTAATTTCTTCTCGTTTAGATTTTGCAAATTCATTGTTCTGTAACCTTCCAAAAAAAGATGTCACAAAACTGCAACGACTTCAAAATTCTGCAGCCCGCCTATTAACATTCACTAAGAAATCTGATTCCATATCACCAATTCTCCGTTCTCTCCATTGGTTGCCAGTTGAAAAAAGGATTATTTTTAAAATTATGTTACTTGTACATCATTCAGTTTACTCTCTTTCTTCCCCTGCATACCTGAGCAACTCTGTTTCAAAATACAACCCCACACGAAGTCTTCGCTCCTCATCAGACACACTATTACTTAATACACCCAGAATAAAACATGCTTGGGGGGAACGGGCTTTCTCAGCCATGGGTCCAAAACTGTGGAATAAGCTCCCTCTAAAATTACGTCAACTGTCATCGACAGAAACATTCAAATTACAACTAAAAACCTATTTGTTTCTTTCGTTGTAATTATTGCAATATTTTAATTTACTATGTCTAGGAGAATTCCGAATTTGTTTTTCGGTTTATTGTTTTCTCTTTCTTATGCCTGTTACATGTACTCTTTTCTAAGCGCCATGAGCACCGAAAGGTGGACCTGTGCGCTATACAAGTAGCCACTATTATTATTATTATTATGATTAAAATGATGATGATAATGATATCTATGGTGATAATGTTGATGATTAAAATGATGATGATAATGATATCTATGGTGATAATGTTGATGATTAAAATGATGATGATAATGATATCTATGGTGATAATGTTGATGATTAAAATGATGATGATAATGATATCTATGGTGATAATGTTGATGATTAAAATGATGATGATAATGATATCTATGGTGATAATGTTGATGATTAAAATGATGATAATGATATCTATGGTGATAATGTTGATGATTAAAATGATATCTATGGTGATAATGTTGATGATTAAAATGATATCTATGGTGATAATGTTGATGATTAAAATGATGATAATGATATTTATGGTGATAATGATGATGATTAAAATGATGATAATGATATCTATGGTGATAATGTTGATGATTAAAATGATATCTGGTGATAATGTTGATGATTAAAATGATGATGATAATGATATCTATGGTGATAATGTTGATGATTAAAATGATGATGATAATGATATCTATGGTGACAATGTTGATGATTAAAATGATATCTATGGTGATAATGTTGATGATTAAAATGATATCTATGGTGATAATGTTGATGATTAAAATGATATCTATGGTGATAATGTTGATGATTAAAATGATGATAATGATATCTATGGTGATAATGTTGATGATTAAAATGATATCTATGGTGATAATGTTGATGATTAAAATGATATCTATGGTGATAATGTTGATGATTAAAATGATGATAATGATATTTATGGTGATAATGATGATTATTAAAATGATGATAATGATATCTATGGTGATAATAATATCTATGGTGATAATGTTGATGATTAAAATGATATCTATGGTGATAATGTTGATGATTAAAATGATGATAATGATATCTATGGCGATAATGATGATGATTAAAATGATGATTATCATGATAATGATATCTATGGTGATAATGTTGATTATTAAAATGATGATAATAATGATATCTATGGTGATAATGGTGATGATTTAAATGATAACATTGATGGTGATACTTTTGGTGATAATGTTGATGATTAAATTATGATAATGATTAAATTGATGGTGATGATGTTGATGATTAAAATGATGATGATAATATTGTGATGGTGAGGAGGAGGAGGAGGAGTAAGATTTTGACTCTTACCTCAAGCAGTCCAAAGTCATTTATTTCATGGACCTTTTGAAAGCTGGATCTCTATCAATAATGATAATAATATTCACATTTGTTGTACGGTAGTGCATAATACTATGTTTCTATTAAAGTGCTTTACATTGTCACATTGCCAAACCAATTTGTATCGAACCAATATAAGCAACAAATTTTAGGCCATTTGGTAAAATGAAATGACTTTGTTGAGTCTATTGTCAATCTGGTGTCGGTCTCTGCTGTGTGACTTGGGTATCACATTATATATGTAACTTAATTGTCCAGTCTGTACAGTTACATACAAACTGTAACATTGAAAATACCAATAAATACAAGAATTATAGAAATAATGATCATCTCAAACATTTTCTTTGATAGCAATCTGACTAATATAGATCTTTTTCTCTATTTGTTGATTAACTACAAAGTTTTAATTTCTTCAAGAAATGGCCCCCATCTCATATTTGTCTATAGTTATTTTGTAAATGTTCTTTCGATGTATTGTTTGCCAGATCCAGAGGAGCACCCCCAGAAGGAGGAGTACTGGGGTCATGTGAACCCCATCGGTCCTAGGGCGTGCTATGATGAGGGCAAGAGGGTCGCTGAAACCATGTGCTACGCATACGAAAAACAGGTAGAGTGCTCTTTAATGGGATCCAGTAATTTTGTCTTAAATCCTTGATTTAGCTCATGCTGCAATGATAATTATAAACCTTTAGGTCAGTCAGGAACCCCATGAGTTTTACAAGCCGATCGCCTGTCTGGTTTTCAAGATATTTAGATTGAAAATCGATATCAAATTTTGCGTTTGCCAAACGGTTTTCATAACACTACAGTCTATTGGGGACAACGAGTATGGTAAAACTGTTCACTCAAAGGTTTTTACTTTTTTGAGGCACTTCTTGATCATTTTAAAGCGCAATTTTTGTAGGGCTTCAATATTACACCATATCACAGACACTGATAACACGTAGGGCCATGCATTGTTAAACAATCCCTTTAATAGTTCTATGAAGGATTAAGTTTCAAAAGTGTGAATTGATACTGGAATTATCAGGTGTATAACTTTGTCACGATCAGATTTATAAATTTGTGATGAGGAAAAGAAGGTTGCTGAAACCATGTTGTATACGAAAAGCAGATATAGTGCTCTTAGTTCTATACAGGATTAAGTATCAAAAGTGTGCATTGATACTTTGAAGAAACTTTATTTTAAAATTGAACATTGATATTAGCATTATCAAGGTTATACATTTTTATGAGCAGATTTATATTCAATCTGTGATGAGCGCAAGGGCGTTGCAGAAACCATGTGCTATGCATACGCAAAACAGGTATACAGTGTGAGTCAATACAAACCCGAGCTCAAGCATCAATATCTGAAAAATCGTGTATAATTGCTGAAATATGATATAATGGTGTGATAACATCTTGAATTTGAAAGATTGTTCATCAAATGTGATTTCATGTGACAGAGCACTGCCCTTTTTCAGAAAGCAAGTCACCTTGGCCCAGTTAAGGTTGAATGGTGTGTAGGAGTGGCTTTCATAGTAGTGCATTCATTTGGAATGAAGACCAAACCTTACATTTATCATCAAATACATTCCACACTTAGGTAGAGCAAAATTTGACATGAATCAGGAAAACTGTTTAGTGTTCAGCTCTACAAGGTTTATTGATCAATGTTCAAATTAAAGAAATAATCTGGTTCAATATGAGTAACTTAGACTAATTCTTCATGTACTGATTGCGACAATGTTTATGGTAGAATCTGGGCTTCCTTCTTGTGACTCACACGATGCAGTTTCTAGATTTACCAGGTTTATAGGTTTTTATGATCAGATCAAAAAATTATGATGAATTAAGGCAAGAGAGTGGCTGAAATCATGTGCTATGCGTGTGCGAAACAGATGCAGTGTCTGCCATATGTTCATTTCCCTGATACCAGATGCTTTCAGAAGTGTATGATGCATCGTTGTTTGTTCACATATGTTGTGGTTTACCCCCTCATTTCTTGTTTTGTTTCCGTACTCAATGAATGGCCATTGAGAATAAAAACAAGTAGGCTTGCATAGAGAACTGTGTGTGTGTAATAATATACACAAAACTGTGTAAAGTGCAGTATGCTTCGTTAAGTACACCTACATGTATGTAACCCTGCAGTAAAGTACCATCCTTTACTTTGCCTTCATTAATTATATGATTTGAAATCATAAGTTGGTGAAATGACCGGCAATGAGAACAGAAAAAAAGTGATATTTTCATACTGATAACAGGTACGATGAAAAAGCATCCTTATATAAATCTCTACTAGGGCTTTAAAATATCAAGTTGAGTGCAGGTCATGATATTGCATTGTGAAAAGAAATTTGCTGGAAGCAGTGAGGCATGGTCGATTATGGAGTGATTTATAGATGTACAGTATATACTGAGAGATTTTGTAATCATTAAAATGAAAAGATTATTGACTCAATCTTAATGCACTTTACACTGAATGGGTATATGAGACTACACCCAAATGTCTGGATCAAACTTTTCACCTGTTTCTCGATCATCATATTTTGAATACAAGGGCCTTTGAATAGCTACATGATGTTCTCCCAAAGTTACATAAAAGATGTTCATAAAGCCTATAAATTATTTTTCACCTTTACCAGAAGTTCAGAACTCAATCGTCTCTCTAAAAAACCCTCAGCCTTTTAATGTACCGTATCTCTTGCCTTGAAGGCTTGAATTTTGTATAGATAGGATGAAATAGAGAGATATAATACCAGTAATGGAATACAGTTGGTATTTAGGTTTAATGCACTGATACGTGTTACCCTTTGTTAATTCATGATACAACGCATAGAGTAATAATACAATGAATGAAATTAAACTTGGGCCAAAGCAGTTGAATGAAATATTATTGAATGATGACAAAATTGATGCCTCCAGGCCCTCAGTGGTACAGTATGTAAGCAATTTTAAAAGGGAGATGGAATGATTTACAGCGCGACATACATTGTAGATCAGATAAACTGGAAAAACAGGTAGGCAAGTGTCATGTCTATCAAGATAATGAAAGAGAAAAGAAGGGAGAAAGATAGAGAGATGGAAGAGAGAGAGAGAGAGAGAGAGAGAGAGAAAAGGAAGGATTGAGTGAGTGAGTAAGATAGAGAGGGATCTCCTTCTTTAAATAATGTTTCCATTAATTCTCTGTAAACTTCACAATTGTGATATTCCAACCAATCTTCATTTTTTCCCAGGATAAAGTTGAAGTCCGAGTTGCCAGGATTTTCAACACCTTTGGACCTCGCATGCACATGAACGACGGGCGGGTTGTGAGTAACTTCATTCTACAAGCTCTCCAAAATGAACCAATCACGATATTTGGAAAAGGACTACAAACGCGCTCCTTCCAATACGTCAGGTAATGATGATCAAGCTAGTGCTCTTCCCATTGTGTATGCAGACATGTTGATCATGTTGCTCTCTTTCAGTTTCATTGGATGGGGTCATTTTCTAGAGAACTGAATACGGTAGCAAAACTGTGTAACAGAACTGTGTAACATCTGTTAAGATTCTTTTGAAAAAATTAAGTTGTTAAAAAAAGAAGTTTTTTTGATCAGACATGATTCATTAAGCTGATTGTAATGCGATTGAACTGAAAATTGGAATACCGTAAACTAGAAACCAGAACGTTATGTAAATTGTTGCAAAATGATTAAATCCCATCACTGAACTTGTCCTATTTATGAAGTTTCTTGCTCTAATTCAACCAGTCCATCTTTCCTTCTTGAAATACCAAAAACCTTAAAAATATCAAATTTACAAGGGCTATGAATAATTCAGTTGTCAAATGTAAATTCAAAGACATCTGACAAAACCTGACCTTTAATATTTCCACCCCCTTATCTTTTATCTTCTTGCAGTGATCTTGTGACTGGTCTTATTTCGCTCATGAATAGCAATGTTTCATCACCAGTAAATATAGTAAGTATACATGTATTTAGTATAGGATCTCTTTCATATGTTTGAGTTTTTGGTGCCTAAAACTTTGTATCAAAATATCTTCTTGGGATCATTGATTTTGATGTACCCTAGGGTGACTGATTAGGGTGACTGAATAAAAGAAATGTCAACTTGAAGAGAATGCTCCCATGAAACATTCAATAGCCATGATAGTTTATAGAAGACACAAAAAAAGTTTTCATCTTGATCTTTGTGGAAGAATACCCACAAGGTTCACATGACCCTGCACTCTCTGTCAAACTTCTCAATATTTATTTTGCTGAATTTCATTGTGCCATAGGGCTTCACATGTGTAAAGCAACTGCATTTTTGTTTGTGAAATACTATAGAAAGTCTAATAACTGTTAAGTCATTCAGACCCCCTCCTCCCTGGAATTTTTTATTTTTTTTATTTTTTTATTGCATTTCCATTTTTGTCTGTAATGCCTTGAAAAAACATCTGAAAACAGGCGCTATATGAATCCAATTATTATTATTATTATCATCATCATTATTATTATTATTATTATTATGAGTAATGATTATGATGAATCTAATTTATTTTAATTTCATTTACAGGGCAATCCTGAGGAGCATACAATTCTTGAGTTTGCTGAAATAATAAAAAAGAAAATAGGTAAGATTTCAAAAGAATAGACCATTTTAATAATGTTATAATTGTATTTCAATAGTCTTGTTGCTACCTAGGACAAACACTATGGCTTGTCCTACCCAACAACATGAAATGCAGGAAATTCAAATTCTGACTATTGAAATACAATTATTTGTAACAGGTGAATAGAATAATTTGTCATGAAGCACTTAATAAATATTGGTACATTCAATTTGATTACAGTACGAAAATGGCCTATTGGCTATTGAGAGCCAGGGAGCGTTTTGTTGAAACTGTCATAATTATACTTCTTGGTCATTGCATTGAAACTTGTTAAAGAATGAACACACATGTTTCTATGGGAAGTCCATGAACTTTAATAGACCTGTGACAGGTTTCAGAAACTGGTCCCAAAGTGGCAGGAAATGAGTGAGTACCCTTTTGACTCTTAGCAGATGGAAGATTTGTGCAAAGAATGATGGAATGACCCTGGTCATTTCTCTTGTCCAGTTTTTCTTGTTCTTGTTCTTGTTCTTGTTCTCCTTCTCCTCCTTCTTCTTTTTCTTCTTCGTCTTCTTCCTCTTTCTCTCCTTCTTTCTCTTCTACTTCTTCTTATCCTTCCCCTTCTTCCTCTTTTTCTTCCTATCCTACTTCTGCTTCTTTTTATACTTCTTCTTCTTTTTCTTCTTCTTCTTCCTCTTTTTCTCCTCCTTCTACTTCTTCTAATCTCCCTCCCTCTCCTTCTTCCTCTTTTTTCTCCTACTTTTTCTTCTTCTTCTTCTTCTTCTCATTATTATCGTAACTATTACTGACTTCTATGTTTTGTATACATTTGTTTTGTTACCCATGCAGGAGGAGGTAGTGTAATCTCACATGTCCAAGCTGCTGAAGATGATCCTCAAAAGAGAAAACCTGATATTACCAAGGCGAGGACATTATTAAACTGGGAACCAAAGGTAAGCACTCTAATTATTCCAATATTTTTATTATTATCATTATTTATTATATCCCTTCTATGAATTATTTATGAACATTCAATTGGTGCCAGTCCCTCCTCACATAAATTATTTCCACTATACTTTTGAACTAAATGCTTGGAATATTTGTTTGATATTTAGCATCACCTGTGCTTTGGAGGGGAAATGTAAGCTTAATCACTGTAACCCTCAGGTCTCTCCTCCCGATATGACTGATTGGGATACACATAATTTTGGCCAAGTCTTGGTAAAGTAACATGCACTGTACACATAAAGATGTATATGGGACTACACAATTGGTGTTGGGGGCTACTAACCTTGATTTCCTAATCTTTCTATGCTCATTACTCAGCCAGTATGCATCTTCTACCAAAATTGTTTGGCAAATGACATTTATTTGTACTCTTGAACATTCAGTGTTAGTTTCGTTTGATTCTGTGAGAATTAATTTTTTTTTTTTTACCAGAACTCAATTTTATCTTTAAATGTAAAGAAGCAATAAACAATTTGAAAGTCATCCTACAAACAACTCTTTGGTTGGTCTTATCTTTTGGTACAGCAGTGGTCATAATGGCAATGATCATAATGATTAATGGTTACATCCAGGAGTATATAGGGAGGGAGGAGAGGGAGAGTGAGATGGACAACAGATAATGTGCAATATAAGGACACTAACTAGGGAAAAGCATCTTAAAAGGGACATCAGCAATAAACTGTTTTAAAGCCCCACTGTCCTACTTGTAGCTACTTGCTCCCTCTATATAGAAAACTTCCCCAATTGGTGCCTGTTGGTCCCCCATGATCCTCTTTTTCTTATGTTAGTTGAGAGCTGAGTTAATGAGATAGCCACCTGTCAGTGTCCTCTCTGTGTGGTCTAATCCCCTCTGGCCCAGTAGTATTGACGGTCTTTAAAGTCATCCTGTAAAAAACTCTTTTGTTGTCCTTTTCATTTTGACCAGATTCTGCTGGATGATGGACTGGAGAAGACAATACAGTACTTCAGGAATGAGCTGAATGCCACTAAGGGAACGTTCCATCCTAATGCACACATACCAATACCAGGAAGCGAGTAAATGCGTTATCACCAAGACGTAATGAACATCTGGAAGGCCCTCTCCTACACCTTTCCTGTTGCTCTGTCAGATTAACCTCTCAAAATTACTTAACAAAGAGAAAGCATGTGCTTTGAAATCGGTTAACCCACAGGGTAGACATATGTAGTGATATCCCTTGGTTCCATTAAGGTAACAAGCCTGTGGCTCATAACCATGGACCTACTTTGTACATAGCATCTCTGGAATGCTTTTTCAACTGTGGCAGACCTATTCTCTGAATCTATTTAAAGGACTCCATTTTGGATGTTGGTTTCCATTTAATCCAAGTATGTTAAACCTCAGTCATAGTAACAAGACCAACACCAGACTGACTACCAGCTGAGCAAAAAGTTATATCATCATTGATGGTTCAGAATTGGTCCGTCTGGCGTCAGGTTTGGATGGGGATGGCGGTATGATTGAGGTATTTTGCGGCATCAGTTTACTCAAGTACAGAATATGAAACAAACAGGGACTGTAGGTATATTTCTTTCATTCATAATCTAAATGCATTAGAAGAGGAGGGCGGGGTTAGTCATAACAACAGTGATGACCTAAAAATATTATGAGTCGCTTTGCTATACTATTAAACCGCTTGTAAAATGTTAGATTTATTTTTGAAATATCTAGTTGATGATTAATGTAAGAACTTGTATATTCTTTATAATTCAGATAAACTCTTTAATGGATTTTCTTATAAAAAAACTTGCTTGTGAATTTTTAAATTTACGTTGAACTCTATTTATTCAGCCACATTAGGTGGTATGTACTTACCATTTCAACAACTTTATTTTTAAATATCAAGCTGATAATTAATGTAAGAACTTGTATCATTTAACCGTAGTATTTCTATGTTCAGTGCCAAGTGTGCATGAGTGCCCTTTTTAGTATCATGTCCCAGTGCATTTTGCTGACTTGGCTACATGCCAAGTCATCTTGGGATTACTAGTCAAGTGCAATCAAGTTGACACAAAAAAGAATAAAAAATTGAAATCATCAGGGTTGATAGAGTTGGGGTTGTTTCACAAAGACTAAGATGGACTGAAGTTGGACCTGAACTATGGCATGTCATTCATGCCACTGGTTAGTCTCACCATTGGTCTCTCAATTATGATCTTTAGATTTTCCTCCAATAATGAACTATCAAAAAATGTAAATGCTGTCAATTTGTGACCATGATTGGTACATCCCTTGAGAAAACAATGCCAGGATGTTTAGAGGAACTAGTAGCATGAATGGCCTGCCATAGTTCATGTACAACTTAAGTGGTACTCTTATCTGAACAATGTTACCAAGTCCCTTTAACACTCTACTGGTTATGAGTACCGTATATGTAAAGGCTTGTTCAAACATGATGTATGTAGCAAAACTGTGGTGTTTTTTCATGATGTTATTAGAGCGTATTGCGCTTCACTTTCTGTATCTCACAGCACAGAGCTCAGTGAATATATGCGCAAGTCCTTTGTTGCGGGCAGTTACCACTCATTTTACATGTGGAAAAAAACAGTGGCTTTTTTTTGGTGATGGTTTACCGCGCCATATCTGTAGCAGCTTTTGAATAGTAGGGCAACATTTAATGTAATGAAATGAAGAAGATTACTGGACACCTTTTTAGATATTTTGAAGAGGACGAGTATCTTTCTTGGTATAACCTCGTGAAGGATGTTTGTGTACCCACCCTCCTCCAATAAACACACACACAGACAAACCTATTTGCATGCTTATTTTATTGAAATGATGTGCCGACTTATTTATTTTTTATTGAAATCTCAAACTTCTTTTGTTAAAATATCTCTTATAAAGGGATAGATGATATTTTGTGTATTTCTAATTTTAGTTACTAGCCAGTTGGCTAAAAAATAGTTTCTCATCTATTGTTACTTTTGTATTATGTATATGTGAAAAGGATGTACTCAGAAATTGTCTTAAGTGATGTGAAAAAAATGGAATCTGAAATGATCGACGTTTTGAAATAATGTGCCACATCCCCATTCTTTCAAGCAAAAATATCTATTTTTAGTTCCCTTAATTTGTAGTTATTTATGGTTATTTTTTTTATTTTGCATTTTTTTGTATATTCTATGATTCTGCCTTATTTGCAAGGAAATTTCAATTTATCTTCATTTTTGTGTGGAGGATTTAATATTCAAATGTACATGGTTTTCATCATCAGTAAAGCAGCTACAATTACATGTGTAGTTAATATATAAAAGTATCATTTTTTTTTCAGTCACTTTATTCTCAAAGAAGAAAAACGTTGGGAGGGTCGGGGAAGGCTTCATCTATGAAGATCATTTGTACTCCTTTCCAACGAGACATAAAGCAAGATGGAGGTATGGGGATTGGGACTTATTCCACAAAATTCAATCTTCAATTGCATCGGATTGGTTTGTGGTGCCTTACAACAGGGAATGTTTGCTTTTTTATTCTCACTAGCATGGTGTGTTGCACTAGAAATAATGTGGTTACATTTTTACTTTTCACATCATTGATGCATTCTTTGTTTTTAATTGTTAAAAATGTAATACATGAATTGCTGAATCTTGATTGTACAAAATTTGATAAATGAAGAAAGATCCTGAAATTAAAAAAAGAAGAAAATTATTGTTTGTGCTCAGTGTCACTTATCAAATCCATAAAGCAGAAAAGAGAAAGATAGAAAGATAGTGGTGAACAAGCAAGAGAGATGGAAAGAGAAAAATAGAAAGATAGAAAGATAGTGGTGAACAAGCAAGAGAGATGGAAAGAGAAAAATAGAAAGATAGTGGTGAACAAGCAAGAGAGATGGAAAGAGAAAGATAGAAAGAGAATGGTGAACAAGCAAGAGAGATGGATAGAGAAAGATAGAAAGAGAATGGTGAACAAGCAAGAGAGATGGATAGAGAAAGATAGAAAGAGAATGGTGAACAAGCAAGAGAGATGGATAGAGAAAGATAGAAAGAGAATGGTGAACAAGCAAGAGAGATGGAAAGAGAAAGATAGAAAGAGAATGGTGAACAAGCAAGAGAGATGGATAGAGAAAGATAGAAAGAGAATGGTGAACAAGCAAGAGAGATGGATAGAGAAAGATAGAAAGATAGTGGTGAACAAGCAAGAGAGATGGATAGAGAAAGATAGAAAGATAGTGGTGAACAAGCAAGAGAGATGGATAGAGAAAGATAGAAAGATAGTGGTGAACAAGCAAGAGAGATGGAAAGAGAAAGATAGAAAGATAGTGGTGAACAAGCAAGAGAGATGGATAGAGAAAGATAGAAAGATGGTGGTGAACAAGCAAGAGAGATGGATAGAAAAAGATAGAAAGAGAATGGTGAACAAGCAAGAGAGATGGATAGAGAAAGATAGAAAGATAGTGGTGAACAAGCAAGAGAGATGGATAGAGAAAGATAGAAAGATAGTGGTGAACAAGCAAGAGAGATGGAAAGAGAAAGATAGAAAGATAGTGGTGAACAAGCAAGAGAGATGGAAAGAGAAAGATAGAAAGATAGAAAGATAGTGGTGAACAAGCAAGAGAGATGGAAAGAGAAAAATAGAAAGATAGAAAGATAGTGGTGAACAAGCAAGAGAGATGGAAAGAGAAAAATAGAAAGATAGTGGTGAACAAGCAAGAGAGATGGAAAGAGAAAGATAGTGGTGAACAAGCAAGAGAGATGGAAAGAGAAAGATAGAAAGATAGTGGTGAACAAGCAAGAGAGATGGATAGAGAAAGATAGAAAGAGAATGGTGAACAAGCAAGAGAGATGGAAAGAGAAAGATAGAAAGAGAATGGTGAACAAGCAAGAGAGATGGAAAGAGAAAGATAGAAAGAGAATGGTGAACAAGCAAGAGAGATGGATAGAGAAAGATAGAAAGATGGTGGTGAACAAGCAAGAGAGATGGATAGAGAAAGATAGAAAGATAGTGGTGAACAAGCAAGAGAGATGGAAAGAGAAAGATAGAAAGATAGTGGTGAACAAGCAAGAGAGATGGAAAGAGAAAGATAGAAAGATAATGGTGAACAAGCAAGAGAGATGGATAGAGAAAGATAGAAAGATAGTGGTGAACAAGCAAGAGAGATGGAAAGAGAAAGATAGTGGTGAACAAGCAAGAGAGATGGAAAGAGAAAGATAGAAAGAGAATGGTGAACAAGCAAGAGAGATGGATAGAGAAAGATAGAAAGATAGTGGTGAACAAGCAAGAGAGATGGAAAGAGAAAGATAGAAAGATAATGGTGAACAAGCAAGAGAGATGGATAGAGAAAGATAGAAAGATAGTGGTGAACAAGCAAGAGAGATGGAAAGAGAAAGATAGTGGTGAACAAGCAAGAGAGATGGAAAGAGAAAGATAGAAAGAGAATGGTGAACAAGCAAGAGAGATGGAAAGAGAAAGATAGAAAGAGAGTGGTGAACAAGCAAGAGAGATGGATAGAGAAAGATAGAAAGATAGTGGTGAACAAGCAAGAGAGATGGAAAGAGAATGGTGAACAAGCAAGAGAGATGGAACGAGAAAGATAGAAAGAGAATGGTGAACAAGCAAGAGAGATGGATAGAGAAAGATAGAAAGATAGTGGTGAACAAGCAAGAGAGATGGAAAGAGAATGGTGAACAAGCAAGAGAGATGGAAAGAGAAAGATAGAAAGAGAATGGTGAACAAGCAAGAGAGATGGATAGAGAAAGATAGAAAGATAGTGGTGAACAAGCAAGAGAGATGGAAAGAGAAAGATAGAAAGATAGTGGTGAACAAGCAAGAGAGATGGAAAGAGAAAGATAGAAAGAGAATGGTGAACAAGCAAGAGAGATGGATAGAGAAAGATAGAAAGATAGTGGTGAACAAGCAAGAGAGATGGAAAGAGAAAGATAGAAAGAGAATGGTGAACAAGCAAGAGAGATGGAAAGAGAAAGATAGAAAGATAGTGGTGAACAAGCAAGAGAGATGGATAGAGAAAGATAGAAAGATAGTGGTGAACAAGCAAGAGAGATGGATAGAGAAAGATAGAAAGATAGTGGTGAACAAGCAAGAGAGATGGAAAGAGAAAGATAGAAAGATAGTGGTGAACAAGCAAGAGAGATGGAAAGAGAAAGATAGAAAGATAGTGGTGAACAAGCAAGAGAGATGGATAGAGAAAGATAGAAAGATAGTGGTGAACAAGCAAGAGAGATGGAAAGAGAAAGATAGAAAGATAGTGGTGAACAAGCAAGAGAGATGGAAAGAGAAAGATAGAAAGATAGTGGTGAACAAGCAAGAGAGATGGATAGAGAAAGATAGAAAGATAGTGGTGAACAAGCAAGAGAGATGGAAAGAGAAAGATAGAAAGATATGGTGAACAAGCAAGAGAGATGGAAAGAGAAAGATAGTGGTGAACAAGCAAGAGAGATGGAAAGAGAAAGATAGAAAGATAGTGGTGAACAAGCAAGAGAGATGGAAAGAGAAAGATAGAAAGAGAATGGTGAACAAGCAAGAGAGATGGAAAGAGAAAGATATAAAGATGGTGGTGAACAAGCAAGAGAGATGGATAGAGAAAGATAGAAAGAGAATGGTGAACAAGCAAGAGAGATGGAAAGAGAAAGATAGAAAGAGAATGGTGAACAAGCAAGAGAGATGGATAGAGAAAGATAGAAAGATGGTGGTGAACAAGCAAGAGAGATGGATAGAGAAAGATAGAAAGATAGTGGTGAACAAGCAAGAGAGATGGAAAGAGAAAGATAGAAAGATAGTGGTGAACAAGCAAGAGAGATGGAAAGAGAAAGATAGAAAGATAATGGTGAACAAGCAAGAGAGATGGATAGAGAAAGATAGAAAGATAGTGGTGAACAAGCAAGAGAGATGGAAAGAGAAAGATAGTGGTGAACAAGCAAGAGAGATGGAAAGAGAAAGATAGAAAGAGAATGGTGAACAAGCAAGAGAGATGGATAGAGAAAGATAGAAAGATAGTGGTGAACAAGCAAGAGAGATGGAAAGAGAAAGATAGAAAGATAATGGTGAACAAGCAAGAGAGATGGATAGAGAAAGATAGAAAGATAGTGGTGAACAAGCAAGAGAGATGGAAAGAGAAAGATAGAAAGATAGTGGTGAACAAGCAAGAGAGATGGAAAGAGAAAGATAGAAAGAGAATGGTGAACGAGCAAGAGAGATGGAAAGAGAAAGATAGAAAGAGAGTGGTGAACAAGCAAGAGAGATGGATAGAGAAAGATAGAAAGATAGTGGTGAACAAGCAAGAGAGATGGAAAGAGAATGGTGAACAAGCAAGAGAGATGGAAAGAGAAAGATAGAAAGAGAATGGTGAACAAGCAAGAGAGATGGATAGAGAAAGATAGAAAGATAGTGGTGAACAAGCAAGAGAGATGGAAAGAGAATGGTGAACAAGCAAGAGAGATGGAAAGAGAAAGATAGAAAGAGAATGGTGAACAAGCAAGAGAGATGGATAGAGAAAGATAGAAAGATAGTGGTGAACAAGCAAGAGAGATGGAAAGAGAAAGATAGAAAGATAGTGGTGAACAAGCAAGAGAGATGGAAAGAGAAAGATAGAAAGAGAATGGTGAACAAGCAAGAGAGATGGATAGAGAAAGATAGAAAGATAGTGGTGAACAAGCAAGAGAGATGGAAAGAGAAAGATAGAAAGAGAATGGTGAACAAGCAAGAGAGATGGAAAGAGAAAGATAGAAAGATAGTGGTGAACAAGCAAGAGAGATGGATAGAGAAAGATAGAAAGATAGTGGTGAACAAGCAAGAGAGATGGATAGAGAAAGATAGAAAGATAGTGGTGAACAAGCAAGAGAGATGGAAAGAGAAAGATAGAAAGATAGTGGTGAACAAGCAAGAGAGATGGAAAGAGAAAGATAGAAAGATAGTGGTGAACAAGCAAGAGAGATGGATAGAGAAAGATAGAAAGATAGTGGTGAACAAGCAAGAGAGATGGAAAGAGAAAGATAGAAAGAGAATGGTGAACAAGCAAGAGAGATGGAAAGAGAAAGATAGAAAGATAGTGGTGAACAAGCAAGAGAGATGGAAAGAGAAAGATAGTGGTGAACAAGCAAGAGAGATGGATAGAGAAAGATAGAAAGAGAATGGTGAACAAGCAAGAGAGATGGAAAGAGAAAGATAGAAAGAGAATGGTGAACAAGCAAGAGAGATGGATAGAGAAAGATAGAAAGAGAATGGTGAACAAGCAAGAGAGATGGAAAGAGAAAGATAGAAAGATAGTGGTGAACAAGCAAGAGAGATGGAAAGAGAAAGATAGAAAGAGAATGGTGAACAAGCAAGAGAGATGGAAAGAGAAAGATAGAAAGATAGTGGTGAACAAGCAAGAGAGATGGAAAGAGAAAGATAGTGGTGAACAAGCAAGAGAGATGGATAGAGAAAGATAGAAAGAGAATGGTGAACAAGCAAGAGAGATGGAAAGAGAAAGATAGAAAGAGAATGGTGAACAAGCAAGAGAGATGGATAGAGAAAGATAGAAAGAGAATGGTGAACAAGCAAGAGAGATGGAAAGAGAAAGATAGAAAGAGAATGGTGAACAAGCAAGAGAGATGGAAAGAGAAAGATAGAAAGATAGTGGTGAACAAGCAAGAGAGATGGATAGAGAAAGATAGAAAGATAGTGGTGAACAAGCAAGAGAGATGGAAAGAGAA